CGGCCCTGCGGGGCCTTGCAACCAACAAGTACCCTTACTCAACCAACAAGCACTCAGACAGGCATGCAAACCAGCAGGCACGCACACACACACAGACATGAAAACCACAGCAGAATGCGGGAATTTCAACAAGGCATTCATTCCAGCGGCAAATCCCAGAAATCAGCAGTGTTCTCAGTCTGTGTTTTTGGCGGGTCATTACAGGACTAACATCCCACCTCAATTCCACAAGACAGAGAAAACGTGGTTTGTTATGATCAGAAAGGTAACGCTGTGGTCCATCTGGAAGGAAAGGTGCTGTAGGACCATTGAGGGACTCTCAACTCCAAGGGAGAAGGTATGGGCGGAGACGAGGACTTTGATCAGATGGAGATCCTGTGCAAGTGCCACAAGACGAGACAGTCCATGCCAGATGAAGAAGAGCAACAGAGAAGAGTCAAGGCAAAACTCTCTAAAGTGTGGCTTGCAAGGGGCAAAGTTGCAGAGATAAATGACTTCCACATTCGATGGAAAGACCGGCACAACTCAGAAACAGGGTGGAAAAGGCAGAGATCCCAACCACCAGAAGGACAACATCCACCACAGGTCACATAACTTTGGAGGGCGAATTCCAAGATTGCAACTTCCGTAGCTTCTCTTACCTTTCTTGCTCTTTATTGTTTATATGGCAGTCTCATGTAGTGGACCTGAGAGGAAAGGTGTAAGGCAAGCTGACAGTCGATCCTCCACGATGTGGGAGTAATCAATGCTGGTCAGGGTTCCTTCGGCCAGACGGAAGGAAGCGTGAGTGTGTGTCATGATGTAATATTTATTTCTGACTTGCCGGTGGAATAGGAACCGGACTGATGCTCCCCAGAATGGAAATGGAGCCAGAATAAAAAAGAAAAAAAAAGAAAAAAGAACAGCAAGCAGCAATACTCAGAAAGCAACATAAATCTCAGTCTGATTCAGTCCGGGTCATTGCAGGTCACTCAGTCAAGGACTTTTCCAACTGAGTTTGTGAGCTTTGTGAGCTGACACATTTAATCTTGACAGCTTTGCACAACTGGTTGATTGAACACAAAATTGAGGGTATCACTGCTAGGCCAACACAAGGTTACTGCTAGAGTTGAAAATGACACAATGCCTCTGGTTGAGTGGGATATTCTCTTTGTTATTCTGTTTCATAGGTAAGCTGGTGCAAGCTGGAAGTTTGTGTAAACACTCCCAAGGATGTGATGCAGCCAAGCGAGGATAAGCCAGCAAGGGAAGCTCCTCCCCTTGTTGTGGCCTCCATTAACTTGAAGACGCTCATCAATCACAAACAGAATATCAATGAAATTGCTGCAGCATCCATGGTCTATTGCCGGAACACAAAGGTAAATGGTAACGATCCATTCTTTCCAAACCTTCACATGTAACATTATCTAAAATGTTGACCTTTGCAATTGTGGCAATCGACACAGTACCCTATACCCAAGTGGGACGGCGGTGCCTCGCTGCACACCAAATTCCAAGGCTTTCAGAGCTGGGATTGCTCGAATGACCGTTTTCACGGCGAATTCCACAGGCCCTATATAAGTGACACGTATGCCCTGATGACGATTGTGAATTGCAGCCGTTGGTGAATCGTTGTTGAACAGGCTCTGCTTGAGTGGTGGCAGACTTGCGGGGCTTATTGTGCTTTGTTTTGATCTGTGCGGTGTACAGGGTTATTCTTTGTTCAAACAGGCAGGGGCTCAAATCCTCGTGTGGAAGTGGCGTGCAGTTTTTTTTTTTTTTTTTTTTTTTTTTTTTTTTTTTTTTTTTCCTGAGAGCCTGAGCTCAAATCCCCAGTCGACCTCAGTGTTTTGTATGCTGGTCGTGGTGGCGGAGGCCCATTGGCTCGTGGCTTGTTCGAGTCCTCATTGCGGTCCTTCAAACCCTTTGGGCCGGGTTGAAATTGTCGTGTTTTGGCGGTTGTGTTTTGGCGGTTGTGTTTTGTTTTGCGGCTGCAGTTTACCAGGCCTGGATTCAGAACCCCGGTTGACCTGGTTCTTTCGCTGGTGGCAGCCGGGCGGGTCCAGATTTTCGTGTTTTTGTGGCCGCTGGGCCTGAGTTCAACCTGGTTGGTTTGCTGGTGGTGACGGCAGTGGTTGAGATCGGGATTTATTCTTTCTTTCAATGGGCCCAGGTTCAAAACCCCTGTCGTGCAGGTTGAGATCATTGTGTTCCCGTGGCAGTTTTTTTTTGGGGGGGGGAGGGGAGGGTTCAAAACCCTGTGTGGTTGCGGTGGCCCCATTTGGCCATTGAAACCTGGGAAATTTGTCGACCCAGTTGGCGGGCCGGGTTGAAAACCCCTGCATGGTGGCGGCGGCCCTGTTTAGCTGTTGAGATCTGTGAAGCCCTCTTTTTGTTGACCCGGTTCAAAACGTCCCTTTTTGGTGTTGTCAAAAAGAGGGTTTCCTAGGTTAAACCTGCATGTCCTGCATGGTGGCGGCAGCCCTGTTTAGCTGTTGAAATCTGGGAAGCCCTTTTTTCGTTGACCTGGTTCAAAACGTCCCTTTTTGGTGTTGTCAAAAAGAGGGTTTCCTAGGTTGAAACCTGCATGTCCTGTTTGGATTGCTGGAAAGGGCCATTGAAACCCGACCTGGTTGAGAATGTGTGTTTGTGGTGTTGACATATTTGCCACTGCTGAACCCCTCTTTTTGTGGACACTAGACACACACACACACACACACACACACACACACACACACACACACACACACACACACACACACACACACACACACACACAAGCTCTGAAGAGATGCGCAGGAGCATACCTTCCCTTTTACTCTTCCTCCTGAAATAACGTGCAAGTGGGCCGTGGAGGCACACGGGGATGTGGGCAGCTGCCGCTCAACCACAATCAACGTGGGCAGCCTCGCGCGTAAGGGGCACAGTAAAAGGGGAGCTGCAAGAACAATGAAAGGGGTACCCCAAGAACAACCAAAAAACTGTCTAATTATAAAATTGCTTTGAGATGTTGGACATCTCAAATGCTGTCGTTGTCTGCAATAGGATAAAGACTGCTTTGATTCTGAACCTGGGTGGAATTGGGGCTGTTGTGGGGAAAATCTAAAACACACACACAAACACACACACACACACACACAGAGTGTTACATGCTGCGCCTGCAACAGGCTGCACGGGCTATTTTCAGGCCCGTGTCGTTTTCAGCCCAAAAGCCTGAAAACAAGGGCCTACAGGCCCTGTGTCGTTTCAGCCTGAAAGCCTGAAAACAAGGGCCTACAGGCCCTGTGTCGTTTCAGCCTAAATCAGGGCCTTTCCGGCCCTGAGTCTTTTCAGCCTGAAACTGAGGGCCATTTTCAGGCCCTCATAAGATCGACCTGCCCTGAAACTCAGGCACCAGACCAGGGTTTTAGCTCAGGCCATTTTTGGCCTATTTTCAAGACAACCTTCATTTGAGCTTCAACCCCAGAGTCTGGCAGGTTTTGGCATTGGCAAGAGCAGCCTCCTGGACGGGCCAGCACTATATAAGACTGGCCCGCCCTGCAGGCTGCAGGTAGTTCCTAGTACTTCCCAGGCAGGCTGCAGGTAGTTCCTAGTACTTCCCAGGCACTTCACGTGCAGTTCAGGAGGCAGGAGGTAGTCTTCAGGATTCGGCAGCAGCACTCTGGAGGAGCGCTGCAGTACTAGTTGTAGCGCTAGCAGTAGTCTTCAGCACTGGGCGCTAGTAGCATTAGCAGTAGTCTTCAGCGCTTGGTGCCATAGGAGCTAGAGCAGTACTAGAGAGAGAGAGAGATTGGGCGGAGGCCAGGGAGGCTTGCCTGCAGTGCCGTTGCTCCAGTTTCGTCTTTGAGGTACCTGCAGCACAGCGCCATCTTCACAGGTTAGTACCTGACACGTGAGAGAGAGAGAGAGAGAGAGAGAGAGAGAGAGAGAGAGAGAGAGAGAGAGAGAGAGAGA